CCTTCTCCATCACTGAGTCCTTCTCCACCACCAAGCCCTTCACAGTCACCAAGTCCTCCTGCATCACCAAGCCCTTCTCCATCACCAAGCCCTTCTCCATCACTGAGTCCTTCTCCACCACCAAGCCCTTCACAGTCACCAAGTCCTCCTGCGTCACCAAGCCCTTCTGCGTCACCAAGCCCTTCTCCATCACCAAGCCCTTCTCCATCACTGAGTCCTTCTCCACCACCAAGCCCCTCACAGTCACCAAGTCCTTCTGCGTCACCAAGCCCTTCTGTACCACCAAGTCCTTCTGCATCACCGAACCCTTCTCCATCACTAAGCCCTTCGCCATCACCAAGCCCTTTTGCATTACCAAGTCCTTCTGCATCATCAAGCCCTTCTCCATCACCGAGCTCCTCTGCGTCACCAAGCCCTTCACCATCACTGAGTCCTTCTCCACCACCAAGCCCTTCTCCATCACCAAGTTCTTCTGCACCACCAAGCCCTTCTCCACCACCAAGCCCTTCTGCAACACCGAACCCTTCTGCATCACCAAGTCCTTCACCATCACCAAGCCCCTCTGCATCACTAAGTCGTCCTGCATCACCGAACCCTTCACCATCACCGAGCTCTGCACCATCACTGAGTCCTTCTCCACCACCAAGCCGTTTGGCATCACCAAGCCCTTCTGCATTGCCAAGCCCTTCTCCATCACTGAGCCCTTCTGCACCACCGAGTCCTTCTGCATCACCGAACCCTTCTCCATCACCAAGCCCTTCGCCATCACCAAGCCATTTGGCATCAGCAAGCCATTTGGCATCACCAAACCCTTCTCCATCACTGAGCTCTTCGCCATCACCAAGCCCTTCTCCATCACCAAGTCCTTCTGCATCAAGTCCTTCACCATCACCGAGTCCTTCTGCATCACCGAGTTCTTCACCATCACTGAGTCCTTCACCATCACCAAGCCCTTCTGCATCACCAAGCCCTTCTGCATCACCGAGTCCTTCTCCACCACCAAGCCCTTCACCATCACCAAGCCCTTCCCCATCACCAAGCCCTTCTGCAACACCAAACCCTTCACCATCACCAAGTCCTTCACCATCACCAAGCCCTTCTGCATCACCAAGCCGTTCGACATCACCAAGCCGTTCAGCATCATCAAATCCTTCCCCATCACTGAGCCCTTCTCCATCACCAAGCCCTTCTCCATCACCAAGCCCTTCTCCATCACCAAGCCAATGAACGGCCGC